AAAAAGTAGATCAGAGACATATTTATAGTAATTATGCAGGCAAATTTGCCTGCAAATCTCTACCAATTAAGGGATAGTTATATTTATTAGTATAGTATTAGTTATTATCTTTATTATTGTATTAGCTATAGAAATATTGTTGGCTAGTTATATATGGCACAGTAATACTACACGAGTGCCTCTGCACAAGTGCCTCTAAGTGCCTCTGTACGAGTGCCTCTGCACGAGTGCCTCTAAGTGCCTCTGCATGAGTGTCTCTAAGTGTCTCTACACAAGTGCCTCTTACACGGTTTAGCCATTACACCTCTCATGTGTAGAAAAGTTATAAAAAGGGAGCCTTTGCTCCTTCTACTCAAGTTGAAGAAAGTTAGAGAATTACTTACCCTCTTATAGTATCTAGCCTTACCTTCGTACTATTCTTGTCTTTGTATAAAGCGATATACTCTCTCTAAATTAAACCTAGTAAGTGAGATTATCCTCCTTAACCTATAATAAATTAAATGTTAACTTATATACTGTCCCTATGTTGAACCGTTTGCCTCCTGCTAGTGAAAGTAGTGTATATTTCACTTCCACCCCATGTACACTCCAATAGCAAGATCTCTGCATCGGGTGACCTTGTTATCTTGCTACGTGATGACCAAAAAGGCCGTAGTATTGTAACACTATAGCTAACCAAGTGAAGATCTTTGCACAAATACCAATACAAAGAGCCCTAACAAAGGGTAACCTAAAAGTCTATTAAATAAAAAATATGATTACCATTCATGTTGGTTCTTTTTTGTTTAGTTTAGTTTTAAGCTTTAGGGTTAGGGTTAGAGTTAGGTTTATAATATAAAACTTTTAGTAAAAGGTTTAGTTCTAAGCTTTAGGGTTAGGGTTAGGTTTATAATATAAAAATTTTAGTAAAATGAGAAATCAATGAATTGTTTTGATATTTATCAAATTTCAGAGGTAAAAACAGATGCTCTGAAATTTATACAAATTCGTGATTTGTTTATACATGTAGATCATTTCTCAAATTATCACATCAAATGAGCCATCACGTTACACCGATAAATTGTTATATCCGGAGCTAGTGTTTTAAGCCGGCTTAGCCAGTTAAGCCAGCCAATATGAAGCTGTCGGCTGGCTAATGTGGCTAAGGGTCACCAATCACCTAATAAGTATTTTTTTATATAACCGAGTCGAATACATCGGAACTAGGCCGGCATTAAGCTATAATGCTAGAAAACTATATTATAACAAAATTAACGTTTGGACAAGTACATAAGCTACAGTATTAAATTTCGATTATTTCAACCCGGAATTTTGGTCAGTTTGGCTGCGTGACTAACTTATTTTCTAGCCAGCCACTATTAGCCGCTTAGCCGATGTTTTTGTCGGCTGGCTTAGCCAGCCAACTAAAATCATGCGGCTTAAATCAAATACAGAAATATGAAATTTTCAAATGGCAAATAGTTGAAAAAATTTAGAAGGTTTATCAGTTCGAAAAATTGCCAAACATTTAAGTGTTAGCAAGTCCTCTATAAGTCGGGTTCTCACGCACTTTCAAAAATGTTGAAGAAACCTCCATCACTTTCAAGAAACCACGTTCACTAAACATGAACGATGAAAATATATTAAAACCTTAACGAAAGAAAAACCTGTTTGGTATTTTATGAACTACAATTCGAAATAAAGTTAGTCGCATAACAATTTAAAAAGTTATACACCTACTTAGATATACACATAAGAGTGTATTTTATATATATCTATATATATTTTTATTTTATAAATTTATATCCGTGCTTTCATATTTTTTGTTATTGAAGAATAATTTTTTTCATAAGTTTCCGCACAAACTAAACACACCAACGAAAATTTAATAACGTTGAATGTGTCAATATTATGATACGTATTACACATATATAATATGAAATATATATATATCGATCATTCGATAAATTTTATCAGGTAAATTAATTCGTGACATCATATCACGTGCACTCATCGGAGCTAAATTGGATTCACATCCTCCCAACCGATGATCACACTATCCTTGATTAACATTAAACGTAAATGTCATCTCTAATAAAAGTAAATCTAACATTCAGGTAAGAAATTCATCCTTAATCTTTTTTTTCATTTTCGAAAAAAGGCATCTTAACATTCGTTATATCTTTTTTGGATGGCTAATTTTTTTAAAAAATGAAAGTGGAGGAGTAGAACTACTGTTCAATAATATCAGACAAAAAATTATAGAAATACCTCCAACAATTAATCCACCGAAACCTACTACTATGAAAGATTTGGTTTGTTATTTCTTCGATAAATTCTTAATATAGAATTAAGCTGAAATTTTTGTAATGGTTAGAAAAATAATTTAATATTGTTTTCACTATCAATAAAAGATTCTATGGATCAAAGATAATTTACTCCAAGATCGGTCTGAATTATTTGTTAGTGGAAATACAGTGTAAACATTTTTTTTCTCCAAAAGTTTCTACAGTAAAATATTTTTAATAATCTCTTTTCTTTGAATTGCAAAATTTTTCCTTGAAAATTTAGTCGACCTGGTATTTTAGTTTTAATCAACGATACAGATTGGGAACTTGAAGGAGAATTAGAGTATGAAATTAAAGATAATGATGATATCGTTTTTATATCAACTTTACATGGTGGTTAACTATTAATATTAAAAGGACTAATATTTATTTATCGCACCCTGCTATAAATTTTATATATCGCCCTACTAATTATCCAATCAGATTTCGATCATGTGAAATAAAAGTTTTATTTTTAATTATTATTAATAATAAAAAAAAAAACTATTATATATAGTATATAATGGCCATACAATTTGTTTTTCACTTGAAATTATTAAATTAGGCCGGCTTTTTTTAAAAAGATTTTCTGGTTTTCAAATTTAACCAAACCAGATTATGAAAATATTGTATGGCCTAATTTACAAATATTTACATAGCACCAACATTTATTAAATAATATAAATTATATATATATTTATTTATTTATTTTTTCACTATGGTGATCGAATATAATCGGACTATATAATAAATTATAAATAAGATACAAAATCACGTATAAATAATTCAATGTTTTTTTTTTTTTTTTTTTTTTTTTTTTTAATACAAATTTGACGCCCAGGGCCAATTTGTCTCTTAACTATATATATATATTTAGGAACATCAATCTTGGTTATACTACACAAACGTGGACAAATTTTGTCCTGGGCGTCAAATCGTGAAGTTCCATAAATATTTATAAAATGTTTTTTATGTGAAAGATGGTAATGTAATGGATAATTACATTAACGATAGTCCTACTAGTTATCTTTCACTTAAATAATATTCTTATCTTAAACTCATCATGTACCTTAAAATCGGTCACAGACCAAAAAATCTTTTTCACTAAATTCTGTTGGCCAAAGCCTAACATCACTAGTCAATGGATGATAGGCACCAAAAGTTTTTGTCAAAAATTCCTCCCTATTTTTCCCAAGAGTATCTTTCCTCATTGACCAATTTAAAATCATGATTTCTTGATGGTCAGTAAGCACTTGATTGGTATCAATCGAAATTAAGATTCTTTCTTGAATTTCAAAGGGAAGATACATAAATGATACGATAAAAGGTGATATCGAAACGATAGATCTAGATGATATATTTGATCTGATTGAGCGACTACGGCGAGAAACTGTAAGAGGATTAGATTTGTTGGCGGCTGTGGTACGATATACGGGTGTATTTAACATAATCCTAGCAGCTTTCAGGATTTGACATGCCACATTATATTTCTCTTGTTGAAGGAAAAGATTTCTCGTCAAATAACGTTGTATTAAATGTCCAACAGCTCCCCAATCATCGAAATTGTAGTCTAACTGTATCTTTTTCAAATTTGTATTCTGTTCCAAAGCTTTAGCCAAAGCCAAATGTCCATCAGCACCGATTTCATTATTTTTATAAAGAGAAAGACTTTGTAAACCTTGATTTAATTTCAATGCTTCAGCTATCGAATTTATTCCTTCCAGGCCAATGCCACATGAAGAAAGGACCATTGATTCCAAAGTCTTATTTTTATGAAAGCCAACAAAAAGTGCCTCACAACCACTACTACCAATCGGATTATGTGATAAATTAATCGCACGAGGTACAACATGATTCTCAAGTAATTTACCTAAAACACTTGAACCTTCAGTATTACCGTGAACACCAATATTATTAAATTCGACGTCCAGATATGTTATTGAAGTGTTTAACAACAAAGCCTGACATAAATATTTTAATCCTTCGTCACCAATGTTGTTACGTGGTATATAAAGATGAGTAAGAGTTTTGTTGATTGTTAGAGCGTCAGCCAATATTTTTGATCCACCTATAGCAATGTTATTAGCATCAAGACTTAAACTAATAAGTGATTCGTTAACCCGAAGAGCTTCTACAATTCCTTGAATTCCAGCAAACTGAAGGTTATTACCTCCTAAATGAATGTATTTAAGAGTACGATTCACTTTTAACATTTCGGACATATATAAACCACCTTGAGCATTTAATCTATTTGATTCCAGAGAAAGTCTTTTTAAGGTAATGTTTATTTTGAGAGCTTTTGAAATACGCCGAGCACATTCACTACCAATCTTATTAAAAGCTAGGGAAAGTTCTTTAATCGAATTATTCTTTTTTAGTAAGTGTCCTACCCATTTAGACTCATTATCTGATATCGAATTGGATGAGAGATCTAAAAAGGTCACTGTAGTATTCTTTTGTAACGCTTCGAGAATCACTTTTATCGAAGAACCAGACAATCTATTCCTCGATATATTTAGAGTGTGTACATTTGTAATAACATCATACTTTAACAATCTAGCCAATAATTTACATTCTGCCAAAGTTAAACACAAATGTTGATGATTCAATGTTATAAATGCGCGAGTTGTGACGCCATTATAAGATTTTATTAATTCGTCAAGATCTTTTTCAGTAATTTGGTGAAAAGCTCCTTTTTGTATGTGCTTTTGTGTTTGATTTAGATGAAAGTATGTGGCTACCAGTCGGTGACCTTCGTTAGTTAAGTATCGATCTAAGGTATATGAAACACCATATTTTTGAGTTGAAAACGTTTGTGATTTTCTAGGAGAGCTAGGAGCGGAAAAAGTTTCATTGAGGGAGCGAGTTCTCGGTAAACCTAAAGAGGATATTCCAAGAGATTCTGATACTTTCCTAAGCATGGTGTTTTAACGATAAAAAAATTCTACAAAATTTTTTGGGAAAGGAGTTAAATGAACGGGTTTTTTTTACAAAATTTTTAGTTAAAAAAATCGTACGACCAAACATAATTAATAACCAATTAAAAATGGAATTACCCCAAGTACCAGTGTGAAAGAATAATCTTTTTTGGCATGGAATTTCTATTCTTTTATCTTTACAATGCATAAATAGAAATTAACCAATGATCACTTACGTATCATAAAATTCTACGTACTACTAAATTAGCAATTATATTAATTGTCAATAACACTTCTAGATTTGCATCAATCGTGTTTGATTTTATATATTTAAATATTTTACAGTATCAAACGCTAAGCAGGTCCTGTTGATTCTCTGTGGTGTTAAGATGTTCGGAACGTAACGAATTTATATAACCAATTAAAATTTAAAATTTGGTACACAAAATGTTATTATTATTATTAAGCGCGCCCCGACTGGCTGATAAGATCAATTGCGATTACTTAGGATTAGTGTTCGGATCTGTTATTCTCCAGATCCCGATAATTATCCGGCAATCTTTATAACCCATTGTCAATCTTCAATATGGAGTCATAGTAGAGTGTTTAAGGGGGTTGCAGTAGCAGAATCTGCGCAAAATTCTGCTTTTGGCACAGTTCAGCCTGCACAGCTTGTGCAGAAAGTAAATGCATTAATTTCGGATTTTTATACTGTACGTATATCTATCTATCATCATAACGCTTGCATAGTGTAACCGTAGATAACTGGAAATGCCACATTTATCTACGGACGTACCAAATCACCAGAGACGATGATTTTCTGCGGTGCTATTAGGTCAATTCCGTCCGCACTAAATTACAGATTCTGCAAATAAAATTAATAAATTCTATAGATTCTGCGTGGTTTCCGCGATATTTTATTTATTGAAATTTACTATCAAAAATATAAAAAAAAATTTTTTAAAGAAAACAGTTTTTCAAAAAATACTGTATATATATATTTCAAGAAAAAATAATAATAAATTTAAACAAAAAAAAATTCGAAGTGTAATAAAAATTTAAACACTATCACTATCACTATTTAACCTGTTGTTAAAATACAACATATTTAAACTCTGTAAACTTTCTTTGCTTAAATTTTGCTGATTAGTATCTAAAATTATATTATACTTTGAAAAACTTCTTTTAGGAAGAAATCAGTAACCAAATATAATCAAATGCAATTTCAGATAGAACTAGCCATATTAGACCAAAATTTATCTAATATGATTTCTTTAAGTAACTATATTGTATTTCAATTTACAATAGATATAGTAGACCATTTATATAATACTGTAGTTTAGTAGATAGATTGAATAATTTTGATATTGTTATAGAACATGTTAACATTATAGAACATATTAGAGATTTCATCTCTATTAGATCCAGAAGATTGTAACGATCAAAACAAGCTACAATATATAACAAACGAACTATTGGTTAGCTAGATAATACCTTTTATACCTTTTGTATCTTTTATACTTTTTATACCTTTTATACTTTTTATACCTTTTATACCTTTTGTACCTTTTATACTTTTTATACATTTAGTACTTTTTATACCTTTTATATGTATTGTAAAAGCTATATAAACTCTAGCTTTTACCTTTCTTGTACTGGAGGATTTGTTCCCTGCAATATTCTAAAATATTAGGATTCTATAGGAATAGATATCTATAGATAGCTTAGTATCTAGACATTGTATCATAAATAAATAAACATATCTTTACCTAAAGTAAACCATGTCTCTATACTTCTAATAAATATACCAAACTGCCCTAGTGAGGAAACATTCCACTTCCACGCTCTGTTATTTTAGAGATCTCTATCGCTATGTGCTATGTTGAAAGTGGTAAATTAAGAAGGCTACCCTACTTGTAATATTTTGGTGCCTTCTGGTAAAAAGCTAAAAAGTTTCTACTAGAAATCTAAAAGATCTCCTCAGGAATTCTAAAAGTCTTCACCAAAAATCTAAAATGTCTTCTCTGGAATTATAGAAAATCTTCCAAGAAGCTTGAAAATATTGGACCTATTAACTTGGATATTCTCTTCTATTACTAAAGATTACTTTATTTATTTGTAAATGTCTATTACTAAAGGAGTAATAGCGCACTTAGAAGTCCTGTCAAGTTGAAAAAGACTTGTACAGAAGGGTACACTTGAAGCCTTTGCTTTCATAGCATCCGGAAAGTCCAGTCAAGTTAAAAGAGATTTGTACAGAAGGGCCACTTGAAGTCTCTGCTTTTGTAGCAACTAGAACTCACAGCTTACTGCAACCCCGAGGTTAGATCTCTTGGACGGGTACTCTATGAGCCAAACATGTAGGCGTAAGGACCCATAGCTCGCAGCTTACTGCAAACCTTAACCAAGAGTGTTAAGTGTGAATTACCCATGAGCCAAAGTGTAGGTGTAAGTAATCCCAACCCTGTAAATATAAACTCAGAAAATTTTATGTCTCAGAAGTCTATATGATACTATTAAAGCTAGGAAGATTCTATCATTGTTTAAATCCGGCACTTGCCTAAATCTTTGAAACGAAGTACATATCATGTGACTAAAACAAAGCAAAGAACTTATGACCAATTTTTAGTTCTTAGCATATATACACATATGTAAATATTTATAATATTACTATAGTAAATGGCCTATTTTTTTATTTATTTAATTATTACATTAATTTAAATTTAACATGTATATAATGACTTTAAACTGATTATAAATACCCAAAATCCATTTTCAATCATATTCATTTTATTTCTATAACTATCACCTACCTGATTCTCTAAATTCCAAACCCAAAAACCTCTTTCTAATTTAATCTGTTTTATCTAAACCATTTCATTTATTTTAAACCCTAACTCAACTTATTTAATCCTTTTTCTTAACCCTGAAAAAACTAAGCGTTATATGTTCTAATGATAATTGGAAGATGTCCCAAAATTTTTAGTATTATAACTTTAATTATCTGATTTCCTAATAAATACATTTTATATTTAATTCATTCTATCTAACCCTAACCTAATTCCATTCCCTTAATATTGAATCATCTCTAATCTAACCCATTTAACCCCAATTCGCTTTACCTATTTTTCATCTACCTAATTCTCTAACTTCTAAACCCAAAACCTCCGCTTCAATCTAATTCACTTTCCCTAAACCATTCTAGTAACTTTAACATATCCTATTTAACCTCTTTTTTCTAAATTAAAACCCAAATTTTCAACCCAATTAATTCTATCTATACCTAACCTTAACTCAATCCTATTTACTACTAAATTCGAAACCCCTATTAATAATCCGCTTCTAACTATTCAAAGCACTCTTTGCCACTCTAATATTAAACCTGATTCCTTAATTCTAAACCTAAAACCCATTTTCAATCTAATTTTATCCCTAACTCTAAATTCAATACTATTCCTATAACTATCACTTACCCAACTCCCTAATTCTAAACTCAAAACACCTTATTATTAATCATCTAACAAAATCGCCACTTAAATCTTTACTTCATGCATCGAAACAATAATCGAACTTTAGATGTTCTATTTGAAGTTCTATAATCGAATACTTCAAAAATGTAGAAATTAAAAAAAAAAAAAAAAAAAAGAGATGTTAAAAAAAGCCTGATACTTATCTTTCAGATATCAGCTACTACAAATCTACTCTCATCATCCAACCTTATTTAATATCATCCATCCTGATATTCGTTTTACGTATAATGATGGTGATGGAACCTTAAATTCTTTATCTAAAGGAATTTTAAACCTATATTTCAAAGACTCTAGCACATATTTAATTGTTTTTTGGCTTACAATTCTCAAGGTTCCAATTTCATCATAATCTCTAATACCAACTATTTGGCATACCAAGGCCTAAAGAACCAAATCTTCTATCCACCTAGAAACTATTTCTTTTAAAAAAAAAAAAAAAAATCGTAAACAATTCTAGAAATTTTGCCTTAAACAACTAAAACATTGGGTATAATAAAAAAAAAAAAAAAAGCAACAAAACAATCAATTTATAAAGATATATTTTTAAACCGTTATAATCCACAGTTTAGTTTTGGCTTATAATCTAAACTCAGGTCTCGGCTCATCATATTTTCCGTAAAGTCTCCAACTACCAAAATCTTGAAGACCCGTTTTAGTGAAGTTGAAGAGATCCAATTAATTTAGCTACTTCATTACTACTCTAAAAGTAGAAAAAAAATAAAAAACTTAGAAAAAAGCAAGCCTATAAATTCTTTCTAATAATGCCTGAAACTCAAATTTCAATATATATCTGACTAGTCGATACACTATTCACCGCCAAGGCCAAAAATCTTTATTTTTTATTTACTTGGAAGTTACTTTCTTTAAATTTTAATAATGACTTAGATGAATCCTAGACTCTTGCCTTGGACTACTAAGATCTTAATAAAAAAAAAAAAAAAGAGAAGCTAAAATATTCAAAAAAAAAAACAACAAATAAAAAGGATACATCACTCTACCAGCCTACATTCTTGCGAATTCAAAACACAGCCCCTATATATATTAAGCTGGAAGAAACTATATAAATACTGGATTCACTCAATTAAAATACTAAAATCACATAGGTGATTTAAAAATGCCAAAATCACAATAGTACCGGAAATGATGAAAACTTTAACAACGATCCTCAGAACAACAGCGATTTTGGAATGACAACAATGCTAAAAAAAAAATAATATATAAAAAAAATATAGATAAAAATAAAAATAAATAAAAATAATAACCTTGAAAACGAAGTGCAAAAAAAAAAAAAAGAAAGAGCAAACAAGGTCAAAGAAAAAAAAAATTTTGAAAACAGCAAAGTGTGAATATATATATATATGTCCCTATTAGCCCTATATTTATACGAATCTCAAAACTCCAATCAAGACAACAATTCTCAGAACGAATGACGAATATACAACGACTCCAAGAACAAACGACAATTTCGAAACA